TACCATTGGTTATGAGCAGTCTATGATCATGATATAATTCTAAAAAATATCTCTTACGTTTCGGCAATATAGGAAAATATGAACATTTTTACTAAATATTCCTGTTGCAACAGAAATATAATATTGAAAATCTACGCCACTACCATAGAAAACAATACAGAGTTCAAGCTTTAATATTGATATGCTTTCATATCAATAGGGCCACGGCTAAGAAGTGCGAGGTTCAGGTTTATCTTTCGTATGTCTGCGCTTATATGATATGTCTTATAAGGCAACAGTTACTGTCTTTCTTATATCATTTATGCTTTAATCTTGGGCATATTCAGGCTTCCAAAGGTGTTCCATGACGAATAATATACGGGAAAGTATTTCGTGCTTTATTTACAGAATGTGTTCGAATGGTTAAAAGAATATTACGAAAATTTATATTAGGTTCATAATTTTACTTATGTATGTATCATTGAATATGCAGATGTAAACTTATGCATCCTTTTAAATGTTGATATCAATTAATAAATAGTGTCATCAAAATATGTTAAGAAGTGCGATCTTCGAAACCGGTGTCGATAGACGAAGGAAAAAGTATGATGGGAGGCGCTTAGGGCCCAGCATTTTCAGTTGATTTCGATAGTTTCCCGTCGTTTGATTGGTAATTTTAAGATGTTGATAACTAACTTGTATTAATTGTTATTTCCTAATGTTACATATGTAAAACAGTGGTTTGTTAATTGATACAATTAGAAAACAAAATCAGATTCGTCAACTCGAGTACGATTCCTAGGAATGGGGTGGAGCCACACCTTTGCCAACTAGAAGTATCGGCAGAGTTGCTGTCGCGATCGGCCCGGAGAAAAGTCGCAAATGAAAAAAAAAAAAAACGACACTTCCTAGTGTAGTGAGACACTTTATTGGCAGTGGAAAAAAGGCCTGATGTCGAAATGTGTTTGTTTTTAAGAAGCTTGTTGCCTTGAATACAGAAAAGATTTTCGAAATCAGCGGTGATTTTAGTCTCACATATCTTATTATATGTGTTGGTGGAGTGGAAGAACTCCTATGTGTATTAAGCAAGTTTGGCTTGTCAATAAATATATGAATTTATGTGGGGATCAGTAAACTCCAGTGTTGATGTGCATAACTCTTATGTATTCAGGAGACTGCATGGCACTAGCACAAGCCTGCAAATGATTGTTTTCTTGAAACGAGTATAAAATATTGCCATCAGGTGGCGTGCATAAAAGATAATATATTCTATATGGATAACTCAACAAAATGTAATTTTACCTTAATCTAAGATGAGGTATATCGTTGATATATATATATATATGAAGTATACTGTACTAATAAACATCTGTAATTACTCTAACACCCCCTCGTAATTGATGGGTATATCTGAGAGTCTATCCCGATACAATAATAATAATAATAAGAAAAATACAACTGGTCTTCAGGCTTTGTAAAAATATCAGCTGGATTCAGTTGTGTAGGAAAATATAATAAGTTTACATTGCCCTTCTCTCTTCCATCTCTAATGAAATGGTAACAAATATCAATGTGTTTCGATCTTTGGTAATTAACTGGGTTTTTGGCAAGATTAATAGCACCTTGGACTTTAATTTGAATCCTAATAGATCAGACACAATTTGTCTTAAGGAACTTTGCTTCCTGAATGGCATAGGTAATAGCCATGTACTCTGCTTCACAAGATGAAAGTGCTACTGTCTGTTGTTTCTTACTTTTCCATGATATAAATGGTCCATCTTTATGTAACTGAAAACAATATCCTGATATGCTTTTTCTGTCTTCAGATAATCCCCAGTCTGAATCACAAAATCCTTCAAGATGAACTGATTTCTCCGACTTTTTTAATGTAAGACCATATATCATTGTGCATTTCAAATACTTAAGAACATGTTTAGCAGCATTTAATTGAGCTTTAGTAGGTTTGGGATATATTGTGAAAGTTTAGTAACCACATAGCACAAGTCTGTCATAATATATTTATGAGACTACCAACTATTTATCGGTAAAGAGTTGCATTAACCAACTCATCAGATTCTACTTTTGAGGTGTTAACAATACTTGGATCACATGGTATATTTCTTGCATAACAATCTGACGTTAAAGTTGTCCAAAATCTTTTCTACATATTTCGTTTGATTCACATACATGTTATCTTTACCAGTAACAAATGTCATTCCGTTTAGTTTACCTAGATCATTCTAAAATTTTGGCAAAGAGATTGTTTACATTTGTTCACCAGGGACATGTTACTGCTGGCAATAATCAAATCATTTGCCCATAAGCGCACTATAATGTCACTGCAAATATCATGCTTTAGATACAGAGAATGATTACTCTGTGATGGTTTGAATCCTGAAATGAAGAAATTATGGATTACACTAATCTTTTTCTTTATAACCTTCAGGTTGTTCCACATATATTTCATGATCGATATTAGCGTGTAAGTTTTAACATCCATTTAGTGCATTACCATGTCTTTCTGTAAAGCCACATCCAATAACACATGGAGTATAGACATTCTTGCCGATGGGGCAAAAGTTTCTCTGTAGTCGTTCTCCTTCACCTTTGAATATCCTTTGGTGCCATACCTTGCTTTAAATTTTTCTTTGCCGTTTGATTTTATGTGTCACGCTGGAGGTACTGTCATCTAGTTCATCGGTAACGTAGTCCTCTAGGTGTGAGGGTTTCCATCTTTCTCGAGCTGGATACCTTCTTTCTTCACCTATGTTGTCTGGTGGCTCATCTTATTTTGCTGGAAGTGGGTTTTGCTAAAGTTTTGTGTCCATCAAAATGTCATCTTCGGCTGACATTTGCTCGGTACTTGATAGTTCAGCTACACTGGATATGTTTTCCATAAACTTGACACATCTTATTTTCTTCACTGCCTGAGAGTCCTGGAAGTAAATTAAGTAGGTTGGGCTTTGGTCATCATAGCCCACAAATATATCTTCCTTACTCCAGTTATCAAGTGTCTTTTTCTCCTGTTCATATGCAAAACATTCAAAAACAGAAACATTTCTACTGGCGTTCTTGGATTATAGCACCTATTCCTGTTGTAGCAAGTAGCTTTCACAGTATAGGTGCACATATATTTGGGTAATTTGGCGTCAATCAGTAAATATTGGGCCATATCAAAAATGGATTTGTGTGATCTCTCAACTGTTCCATATTGATGTGGAGAGTAGGGTGCAGAAAACTCGTTTAATCTGGTGATGAATTACTTTATAAAGCATACAGCCTGTGTTTTCTTTTCTCTCATGTAAACATTCGTAGTACTTTAAAACTTTCACACTGTCTCCTCTGCCAGATGACGTTCTGTCAAGATAACCTGTTAAGTAACTAGATTGTCATTCTGGCACGATCCAGATTATAACCAGCTGGGAGTTCTGAAAGCGTTCTGAAGCTTTCTTATCAAGAGCGAGGTGAATTTCCGTGACATACAAAGCGGCGAGCAAGTGCTCTTCCCACAAATCATATTTATCTGTATCACAATCAATCTACTTAAATTTGGGCTCATAACTTGTTGGTGTGGTGGGAGAACTCGTCTTCCTTGCATGTATTAAGCAAGTTTGGCTTGTCAGTGCATATATGATTTTCTGTGGGGATCATTAAAACACAGTTCTTCTTTCGTCTTTTATAGGGTTTTAGACTCGTCTATATCCCCTGGATCCTTTTCGTGTGTCTTCTTTTTCTTATATTATGTATATATATATATATATATATATATATATATATATATATAATATATTATATATATTATATATATATGTGTGTGTGTGTGTGTGTGTGTGTGTGTGTGTGTGTGTGTGTGTGTGTGTGTGTGTATTATTTTTATTTTTTTTTTTTTTGTAACAATATTTTGTATGTCTAACTATGTAGGACTTTCGTCCATCTGGCACAAAAAAGATCGTTTACAATTTTTATTTTGTGTATATGGTGTTTCAGTCTTGTATGTGTTGTTTTTAAACTTGTTATGTATATATCTTGTTTTCTGTTTTTTGATCTTGTTCAAGGTTATGGGTTTGTATTTTTAGGTAGTAATTCTTTGTATTTAGAGCAATGTTCAAGTATTCTTCCCAATTCTTTTGTTTTATTCTTAAATTTCTTTTATATTTGAAATATCTATAATTGTACTGGTTTACTTATGTGTTGTTTTTGCTGCAAGGTCTGCTATTTCATTATTCTTTATGTTTTTGTGTGCTGGTATCCATTGTATAATTGTTTTTGTTCGCGTTCTAATAAATAAAAAAATATTGATTATATTTCGATTATGTTTGTAGTTTTTTGGGTTAAGGTTTTGTACTGAGTGAATTGCTGATTTGGAATCAGAATATATCACTATTTTTCATGTTGTTTTGAATATATCTTAGTCCTTGTTTTATCGCAAGTAGTTCCGCTTGTTTTCTTTTGGTAGTTTCCGGATTGTTGTGACATTTTCATCTTTGATATAAATTGCTGCTGAGGTTGAATTGGTACCATTTATTTTAGATCTATCATCGAATATTGTGTTATGAGTTTTGTAAAATGTTCATTCCATCATATGGAACTGCTTCCTAGTTATTTCTTCGGGAGTGTCTTTTGAGAGAATGTGCATAAAGTTTATTCAGTATTTTGATTAATGTCATACCATGGTGGTAACTGAGTTACATTATGTGATATATTTGTTTTTACTATGATTTTTAGTTCTCTACATGCCTCTATGACTGTATACTATAGTTATTTTGACTGTACTCACATTATACTCCTTAATCAAAGTTGTTGTTAATTGTATGATTGGCATAGTTTCTTGCTTTGGTAATAATTATGCCAGTTGAATGCACTCTTGTTTTATTCTTTGCCTCAGGGCCATTATATTTGTTAATGCTTGTAGCATTATTATTGCTGTGGATTTGAGGTATCCTGTGGCTATTCGTAATGCCTAATTTTGTATGGTTTCTAGCTTTTTTTTTATTTTTCATTGTTCTATATATAGAACTACC